TAAGTCTCTGTGACATGTGACTCATTCTCTCTCTAAGAAAGTATCTGTTTGCTTGCATGCCCAGTTGCTGCTAATGTATATCTGAGGCAGACAGAGGGCGCCAGAGGCTTTCTGTGCCTCCAATGACTATGAGCACTCTGTGTATGCTCTTGAGCTATGCTGTTTCTGAACAAGTTTATTTTCTTCAAGTTTGTTTTGCCCTGATAGTGGTGACTGCCATTTTAGAGATGAGCCAGTGTGGCTTAGTGGCTAGAGTGCAGGACTAGGTCCTGGGAGACAGGGTTCATATCCCCCTCTTAGCCATTGTTATAACAAAACAAAACAAACTGCTACTTTTGGACTATTCCGTTGCTGGGTGGTTTGGCCCATTTGTGATAAAAGAACTTTGTATTTCTTGAGGGGGTGCTTCCCTCTAAAAGGGCAAGCAGGGGTACCTGGACAAGCTGTGGGCTACCTCAACTCTGCTATTTCACTGGAAACATTTATGTCTGGCCTAGCAGGTGATCCTAGGGCTTTGCTCACTTTGCCCTAGAATTCGATGGCCTCGGGCAGCGATTCTGGCCTGAATAGCGTCCCCATGTGGTGCACGAAGCATTGGTTTCACCAGTTCCTCACCTTGTTTAGTTTTTTGCAGACTATGGCAGGGCCTTTGCAGATGCATCCAGAGCTTGCCTCTCCTGCAGAGGATGAGTTGCTGATGCCCCAGGTGCCTTCTTCCAGAAGGAAGCGTCTTCAGGCAGCAATCCAGGAGGAGGGCAAAGAGGAGCAGGGATGATGCTTACACTTCCTCGCAGGGATGGGGACATGCGGACTACTTGCATCATCCCTGGGCTCTGATGACGATTCATACGTCACCTTGGACCTCTACAGGGGTCAGAGTGAGGGTGTCCCAGGACTTTTAAGTATCATCCTGGATAGCTCAGCTGGTCAGCGCGTGGTGCCGGTAATGCCTAGGTTGGAGGATTGGTCCCTGTATGGGACAGCTGCATGCTCTCCCATCGTTCTACCTGGACACTGAGGTCCAGCACCGAGGGCCTTCTGGTGGTTCCCTCACTGCGAGAAGCAAAGTTACAGGGTGCCAGGTAGAGGGCCTTCTCGGTAGTGGCACCCGTCCTGTGGAACGCCCTCCCACCAGATGTCAACTTCCAGACTTCTAGAAGACATCTGAAGGCAGCCCTGTTTAGGGAAGCTTTTAATGTCTGATGCATTACTGTATTTTAATATTTTGTTGGAAGCCACCCAGAGTAATATTATTATTATTAGGGAGTGGACTGGAAGATCCTCGGTGTCCCTTCCAACTCTACGATTCTATAAGTGGCAATTCACTATGATGGGAATGTTAGACGCAGGGCTGCCATCATCCCCTCAGCTTGCTGGGATTACAGGGATGGGGACATGCGGACTACTTGCGCAGCTCCACATTTCAAATGGAAATTCCCTGAGCAATAGAACCTGAAGCTGGTGTGCAGGAAGCTGGCCCGGCGGCAGCTTTGTTGAGACTTCTTTAAGGGTTCTGGCCAGCGTCAGCCCTGTAAATTTACACATCATGGTGGCAGCACAAGACGCCCCCTGCTCAAGTGGGGGACTGGGAGTTGGCAAGCAATAGCTCATTACCTCTGGCCCATATTCCCATAAAATTATCCCCCTTGAAAGCCTGGCTAAAAGGTTATCCAGATGGGTCAGCGGCTTTGTGTTTATGGGAAGGGTTTTCTCAAGGTTTAGGATTCCTCTGGCTCGGAATACAGCAAATCAAAAGTCAGAGAGCTACCTGAGGTAGCCTGAAAGAAGGTTAGGAAGCAGCTTATACTGAGACGTATGGTGGGATCCCCTTTGATCCTCCTTCTATTCCTGATCTTCATTTATCCCCATCAGGGATTGTCCCTAAGAAAGCCCCATATAATTCCATCTGATCCTCATTTATCGCAGCCCAAAGGCACCTCAGTGAATGACGCTATCCTTCTGGAATTGTTTCGTGAAATACGCGTCTCTGGATCAGGTGGTTGAGCTTACTAACAAATTGAAAGAGGTGCCTTGTTGGCAATATGCGATATTCAGTCGGCTGTTAGGCTGCTGCCGGTTCACCCTCGAGATTTTAAGTGGTTGGACTTTAATTTGGATGGAGGTCCTTATTATTGATAAGGCGATGCCGATGGGTTGTGCAGTAGACTGTGCAGCACTCAAGTCCTTTAGCGCCTTTCTGGATTGAACAGTGTGAGTCAAGACTCATTAATTTGGGGTACCAATATTTGGATTATTTTACTGGCTGGTTCACGTGACACCAGCCTCTTCGTAGGCTTTCTGGAACCCTTTGTTCCCTCTGGGAGCTGGGTGTTCTGTTGACAGTGGATAGGACAGTGGATTGAAAACTGGAACACTCACTTCCAGATTTTGATCGGGTGCCGAAATATATGAGTACCAAGGTGTTCAACATCCAAGGTACGACTCCACAGTCATACCCCGAGTTGCATTTGCTTCACATTGCGTTTTTTCAGGTTACGAATGCAGCAAACCCAGAAGTGTTTACTTCCAGGTTCGCCATTTCACGCATGCTCAGGAGTGATCTGCGCGCTTCGTGCATGTGCAAGAGCACCCTATCACATTGCACGCATGCACAGAAGTGGCGCTCTATTTATGGACTTTTTGGGGTGCAAACAGCACCCTGGAACGGACCACCCACCCACATGACCATCATTTGGGGGGGTGGGAGGGCTCAATAATTTTACTGGAGAGGCAAAGGTACCTGAGCTCCTAGGAGTGAGTGGGCTCCTAGGGACTGTAGCCACGGCTGTTGCGAGCTGTGGGTGTTTAAGAGGCCAACCAGAAACCATACTTTTTTTCATGGTTATTTGTTTTATTTTGTATGGGCCCCTCTTGCTTGCAGGGTTGGGCGGGACACCTCAGCCTTGCAGCCCAGTTACCACAGTGGGGTGGAGGCTCTTGGTGGGTGTCGGTGCACCTGGAGTATTAAAGCTGCGGAGTAACAAGTGAGGAGCCGCAGCCGCCACGACTTCCTGGCCCACCAGCGTGAGGAGCAGCTGCCGCAGGAAGAGCAGAAATGGCGCGTTCCCATCCGCTGTTCCCATCCACCATGGCACATTTTTGGGTGCCAATGGTGGCCAATTAGCCACTGGCCTCCCTCTCCAGCTTCACTGGTGCCTGAGAAAGCTTCCACACTTCCACACACGTTCCCACAGATGGACAAATTTTGGGGGAGCCCAGACTCTTCAACCCAGGAGTACAGGTGCCTCTCTTGAGCCTGCTGCACGAACTGAGTTGTGCTCGGGTGTGCGTGGAGAGTCACTGCCTCCGCCTAACTGCGCCCAAGTGGGGAAATAGCACGGCTATTTTCTGGGTCAGGCACCTTTGAGGAAGGACAAGGCTGTGAAGAGGCAGCAATGGCTTGAGAAGGACCACACACTGAGTATGGCCACACAATTCAGGCTTCCCTCATGGCGCACCTCGCCAGCTCAGGGTGAGGACGCATCGTGATGCTGTTGCTGAGGAACTGGCTCTGTGTATCAAATGGGAGATTTTGTGTGCTGCTCCAATACCAGTGTTGAGTTGGGCCGAATTATTATTCGTGTATCATTTCTGTGCACTAACTTGGAGCGCAGGGAAAGACTGCTTCCCAACTGCAGTGGATCCCGTCCAGAGATGTTTCCTCCGCTGCCGCTTGCATTCCCCTTCATTCTGTGCTGGCACCCCACGTTGGGCAGCGCTGGGAGCATGCGCCGACAGCGGAAAAGCCAGCAAAGGAACCTGCAGCTTAGCACATGCAACGGGATGCATCGCGCAGCGCCCACAATGTTACACGGCGCTCCGGGCACAGCGCTGGAACAGTTAGCCGCCATGCAGCTGGGGCAAGAGCTGACAGCCCAGCAGAGTAGAGGCCGTCAGAGCATCACAGGCTCTTCTGCTGCGGGCGGCTTGGCGCGAGTTTGGGGGCCAGTGTTGGAGTCTGGGGAAGAGCTGCCTGCGGCACTCCAATGGCCTATGCTCCGCTTGGCTGTCGGTGCTCTTCCCCGGAATCCAATGCTCGGCCCTGGACTCTTGGCCTGGCGCTCCTGAGAGCCCGGTGCTGGGGTAATGTGCACCCCTAGCACCAACAGTTAAGACGGCCCTGTCGGTGGCAGCTATTTTGGGGCAGAAACCATGTCATTAGGTGGGGGGCAGAGAGAGAGAGAGAGAGAGAGAGATCAGACAAATCAGGGAATAGGAGAGATTGGAGAAACCAAGGAGAGCTAGGACAAATCATTTCCCCCTTTCTCTCTCTTGATGGTTGGCTGCAGTCAATTCCGGAAGAAGCCATGCGGGGGGGTGGGGAGATTGGACAAATAATGGATCAGAAATGTTTCCACAGGTAAAAGGCGAAAGATTTATATGATCTGAGGCGAAGCCAGAGTACTTGTACTTGTTTCCATAGGAATCAATGGGAATTGTCGGCTCGTTATGTGAACGATCACCTAACAAACAATTTCCAAAGATAGGTAAGCTGGACCTGCGTGTACAATATAAATCCTTTTATTGAGCATTCATCCTGATTTGTTTGCAAAAAGGTTGCAGAGAGTTGCAATTATGTTGGCTATTTATCAAGCATTCATTTCAGTTTGTTTGCAGGTAAGTAAGATGTCATTGCACAAAGCAAATGCTACCCCACACTTTCCAATGCATTTTCCCTTCACTTTCATTATGGCAAAGAATCCAGTTTCAGGGTGGAAGCATGCTTGCTGCTCAAGAGATCCAAGCCAATTTTAATTGCACAACCCAAATTTGCTAATATGTGGGTGAATCCCACCTGAAAATACAGACAGTCTAAAAACATGCTCAATCTCTTTGCTTCTCTTTGCCTGGCACCTAGAGATATGCAATGAAGGCAGATTGGAACCTGCCCATTATGTTTGCTCAATATATGTGTTTCTTGAAGACAAAATAAAAATAAATTTTGTTTGAGAATTATATGTTCAATTTTATTTGTTAGGGACTCTTGGAAACAAACGAGCATGGTTAGTTAGAAAGAACATTTATTGCAAAAAAAAATCCCCAACAAAGTTCATGGAGCGGTGAACGCTGCCCTCCGTCCATCAGTGAAGATGTTCCTACTGATGAGGCTTCTTCCAGTGGAACCAAAAGCAGCCCAGCCTCCTCTTGTGACGTGATCTGTCCTGAAGGCCGCCTATTTGATGAGAGCGGGGACTAAGGGGGTCAGCCCCCTCCCCTTCCTCATTCCAAGACACGGAGCTTCCATGTTCATTCCTGCTCTCTAAGGTGTGGCTGCTACTTCTCTGTAATTTGAGCTCCACTGCTTGTCTGCCATCAGGGTTGCTTCCAGTCGACATTCCTGAGGGTTAGGGAGAGGACTCCTGATTGTACTCATCTAGTCTTGCTGTCTGCCTTCTCCCTCTGCCTGTACTTCTTCCCTGGGAGCCTGTATATTCATGACATTATTCCTCTATACTTTTCTGTTTGGACCAGCCTTTCTCAACCTGTGTTTCCCCAGATGTTGTTGAACTACAACTCCCATCACCCCTAGCTAGCAAGACCAGAGCTCAGGGATGATGGGAGTTGTAGTCCAACAACACCTGGGGACCCACAGGTTGAGAACCGCTGGTTTAGACCATTTACGTTCCAGCTCAGTACCTTTAAGTCTGCCATTATGTCTGCTTGTGTCTTTTCCCCTAAAGTCTTGTCTAAAGTTTTTGTTGTCTTGGTTATCTAAATTATCTACCTCCCCCGCTGTTGCTCCTTCCCCTGCCCCTCCTACTGCTCCCAGCAGGTACTGTGGAGTGTATGGGTTGCCCAAATCTCTGCTATGTCTTAGCCAGAATTCCTGCACCTGCTCTTCATTTACCAATCTATATCTTTTTTCCTTGTATGTAAAGGAAATTCCTTCTGGAAATTCCCATCTAAATTTAATATTGACTCTAATCAAGACGTTTGTCAGGAACCAGTACCTCTGGCATTTTTGAAGCAAACGAGGAGGTATATCTCTAAACACAGAATTTCCATCAACCTGGAATCTGTTTTCATAATTGTTCTGGACTATAGCGTCCTTCAGTTTCTTAGAGTTTAAAGTTACCAAACAGTCTCCAGGCTGTTTCTAAGCCTTAGCTGATTTAGACTGGACCCTGTAGCAACTGTCAATAGATCCTTCAACATACTCCTGTTCCTCTCCCATTCAATCCACAATTGTCTAGGCTTGTATGTTTTAAGAACTTGTTCCTCCTCTGCCTCTGGAAGGCCTCTTATTCGCATCACATTAGATTTTTGTCTCATCTCTAAGACTGCGAGACAACCCTCAATTTGATCCTGTCTGCCAGCTAAACCTATCATATCCCCACCCCTTATTATCTCTTGTTCCCCTCTAATTTATTCGTTCTCTTTTTCAATTTTTTGGGATTTGGCCTCCAGGTTGTTCACAGGAATGTCCAAAGCTTCTAATTTGCTAGATATTTCTGTGACCATTTTTGTGTTCTTCCCCAATTCCGCTACAACTTTTTCCTTCTGCTTTTGCATTAGTGTCAGCATCTCATTTTTAAAATCTGACAGAATATACTCTATATTTGACTTCAGATTGTTTTATTGATGTTTCAATATTCTGTAAACCGCTGTGAGAAAAATATAAAGCGGTATGGAAATTAAATACATTCAGAAATACATACATACATACCTGGGATGATAGGATAGGAAGCACCCATACGATCCAGCCTATTGAGACAGATGCCGTTGATGGATCATTGGAGCATCGTTGGAGCAGCAGGAACAGTGCAAAGGTTGCTTGAAGAGGTCCTTAGATGCCTTGGCGGAGTTCAGAACCAAGCTTATTCACTGAAATCACTACCCAAAAACCTTCCCATGCTAATACTTTGGGAAGTGAGGGATATAGGGAAAAATAGAGGGGCATGATAGTTGCATTGGAAGTTAGCGAGGACACCGTAGGGACTTGAACCCCATCCTGGGAACCAGGAGCGCCGACCACCAGAACATTCTGCGAATGTTCTCTCAGGAAAAAAAAACCTTAAGATGAGTAATGCTCTTTGAAGAGACCTGTGAAGAGAACATGAGAAAAGAAAATGGGAAAAAGTAGAGATCAATACAAAAAAACAACATCGCCCTTAAAAAAGACCACTGAGTGGTGGAATGTGAACTTACCTGAAGCAGCACAGTCCAAATGCAGGTGACTCTCACTTCAGGTACAGAGAACTCTGGGGAACCGGAAGGAAAGTGTAGCTGGAATAAAAGAAGTGCTCTCCTATCTGCAGCTGAGCCTCATTGTGGTGACGCAGAATAGGGCCTCTTCTGACAACTCCGTCACCGCAACCTGAAAGAGTTTTAGCACAGTGAGTTGCAGACGGAACACAAGATAAATATTCTTCCCAGCCAAGCAAGGGATACTCACCTAGATGTCCTTCAGGCATAATGTATACATCTATATTGCTGCTGCTATTGTGATGTAGTGTTTAAGGTTTAGTTGTGAGGTATCTGAGCCTGTCATCCCCTCTGAAAATACAAGAGTACTTGATACTTACCTTCCCGCAGCTGGGATGGTCACTTCAAAGGGAGAAGTTTGGGTGGGGGCCTTTCTCAAGGTCCACCATCGGTCTACAATTTACTGTCCCTGTGTTATTAGGATTAAGTCTTCTTTGATCTTCTATTTTCCTTTGGTTTCCTTTTAATTTAAAATTTAATGTCTCTGCTAACACTTTTCATGATTAAGATATATGTGCGCAGTATTTGAAATCAACCACAGCAGAGATCACAGGTGAAAATTACCTGTGCCCCTTTTTAAAGTTATAAATGATGAATTTCAGCAGAGTGAAATCCCTTCATTTACTCTAAAAGAATAAAATACATCCCAATAGTTTTGAAAATCAACCTAACCTAAGCTGGTTTGTTGCCTTTTCCAACCTGTTTCCTCTCCCCCAGCCTCTCTCTCCTCATCCTTCTGCCCCTGAGCTCCTTCAGCTCTGACCAGTGAGAGGGCTCCCCCAGTCCTATGGCCGGGGACAGGCTCACTCACTGGAATGCGGCTCGCTCCTTCCACCACCTCTTGGTCATAAGGGCACATAAAAAGTCCCTTGCAGCATTAATACAGTGGGTGCAAATGTCTTTATTTTCTTTTTAAAACAATTTTTATTAAGTTTTGTAATTTTATGTTCATCACAATAACATTGTCTCAAACACAGAAAAAAAAATAGCCCCCCCCCCCGACTTCTGACTTCTCTCACCTTCCTCTTCTGGTTTGTTATGCAATAACATTTCCTGCTTGTTTTCACACCTTACATTCTTCCAACTGAACATATTATGTTCTTATCATTTTTGTTTTCCCCCGTACTTATTTTTAAATTACTTCTAATAGTTTACTATTTCCCAATTATTAAAGCGTGTTCTCCCTCATGGAGAGCACGGGTTGCAGTTGGGGCTGACAAGACACCTCACTGTTGCTGGGCAAAAGAATTTGGCCATCTTTAAGCAGGGGCGGGCTGTTACTGGGCAGATTTATATGTTGTCATTTATTGATTGACAGCCCTGTTTGTTAAATACATTGCACACAGCGACAAACTTCCTCTTTTGGCTGCGTGCTTTGGATCACCTGGAGCGCTTGGACCGTCTGGAGGACAGTGGAGCGATCTTCTCATTGTCTGGTTACATTTCTTTATTTCCCCCTTCTCTTTAATCCTCTCTAGTCGCTTAATTAATTTAATTCCACCCCTTTTCTTTTCCTCTTTGATTTCCCACCCCACCCCTTACCCTGCCCTGTGGGAAGATCCTCCCTGCACCTGTGAGCGCTGCCTGTGCATCATCCTCCTGGGCTTGCCTTTCCCAATAGGGAGAGAGCCCCCATTAGGGGCTTTCTTTTGCAGAAAGGTTTCCCTCATTTCGTCTGTTTGTTAATTGTCAGGCTGTTCCCAGCTTAGCTGGAATCACTTTCGTTTATAGTATCCCCAAAGGTGGCTTTATTTTGGGTGTGTGCTGTCGGCCGAATTTTAATCTAGCCTTGGGCAGGAGCACCATTTTGAGCTTCCTTTAATATTGCAATGAGTCAAAGATTCTTAAGAGCAGAAGCAGTGAGGCCTACATTCAAGCCTAAGCCTGCTACAGTTAGCAGGAAATTGTTAGCAACCACTCACTTGTGTGTATTTAAATAAAGTTGTGGCCAAAATCGTGCCAAAAACCCAAACCAAAAGTGATGTGTGAATTATTGGGGGGGGGGGGGGCTCAGGGACCTCGACACGCAACAGTCAGTTGCTGGAAACAACATGCCTGGACCTTGCTGCTTCTTGCTTCTCGTGACCCTTAGCTTTCTTGACTCCTGAATCGTCTGACTATGTGAACTGAAATACTCCTGATCTTAGGTCTGGACTGAACCTTGCATACGGACTTTGCCTCCAGGCAAGTACCCCCCTGAGCCTTGGCTGGTTGGCTGGCTTCTCCCTCCCCTGAGCTCTGCCATGGCTAGCAGCACAGGTCTACAACAGAAATGTAGAGAACTGAATGAGAAACTGAGAGAAACCAGAACTGATACATTTGCCTATCCCTACTCTGAAACAAAGCAGCTCATCCAGGTTTTTGTATTCCATCATTCTGTAGTAGCACAGGGTCTAATTGGGGCGGAACTGCATCAATCATCATCATCATCATTTACACCATTCCTCCCAAAGGGGCCTGCGTGAGGTAGTGGCTGCATAATTCAACTAGTGGGAAAATTCAGAGTTTCTCACCCGAAACCTGCTTGAAAACATGTGGGGTAATCACATTGAAAACTCATAAGCCAAAGAAGTGGCTGGATAAAACTTGCCGCAGTAGATGTTTCAGCCGCGCCTAATTTATTGTCCCCCACCATGTGCAAAATCGGACTTGAATTATGCAACCTAATACAGAATACATTGTACAAATGTTCATTTTGCATAATTTATACTTTGACTGTAGAAACTAGTTTTTCTTGGTACAATGGTTGGCATCCCATTGCATGTTACAGAATTTGTTTTAGCACAAAGTGCGGACAGGAATCTATCTATGTATTATGTTTATAAGCAACCATTAAGAGGGGAATAAACTTTCACTTTGTAGTAAAAATGTAAGCATGAAGACAGATTCCCGATATTTAAAGTACGGATTTACTTAGGCTATTCCAATCCCAAACATACTGAACAGAAGGAGGAGCAATTCTGACCTGACTGTCTACTTATCACAGGCCAGTGAGTAGAGGCGTGTGCATGTGCTTCTTTCTCTGTTCTCTGGTTGACTGTGCTATGCTGGATGCTCTACGTAACAATCTGGTTTGTACAATTATTTCTCCTTACAAAGAGGAGAAAGATTGTGCCACATGGGCTTAAACATGTGTGGCTTCGCACTCTACATTATTTATTGGTTCAATGAGAGAAGCACATTCCTGCTGCTCCACTATGAAAATAATGTTGATGTTGGAGCATGTGCATGAACTAGATCTTAAATCTTACTTCTATGTTATTTGCAGTGCTGTGCTTGTTGCCACTGCCTTTTCAGTTACTTCCAGGGTGCATCTGGTAACATCTACCCTTACGACTGCACACAGCTCACATTGATCTTTAACATGCTGTTAAGTTCTTTGTGTGCGGTTGGCCTACGCAAAACTTATACCATATGGGTTGGGCAGGTAGAAGCAATTGCAACCAATGGCTGCCTTGCTAGATGCAGCTGGTTTTTGCTATTGATGGGTTATGCAGTCATGGTGTCATCTGTGCAAGGCTGGGGTGGAAACTGCCTCCATGTGCCTACAGACATCTTAAATGCACCAATGATTCATCCCTCAGACATATTAAAATTGTGAGCACCTAAATGCAAAAGAATTGGTTTGTATTTATCTTGCTCTGACAAGTAAAACTAAATCTGGGCAAAATATGAAATGGCAGAATTTTTCTTTCTGGCAAAAAAATTCTTGATGCCACTTCAAATGGGAGCTTTGCTGTTCTTAGCAGCCCATCTGCTTCCCTGGGACAGAATTCCACATGAGAACAGCCCTGCATCAGGTTGTAATATCATTCCCAGAGGCGTTCCCGGGGGCGCGGAGAGAGATAGCTCTGCTCATTGGCAATGGGGGCAGCCATTAGTTCCACTCCAAGAAATGCCCATGGGAATGATGTGACATCAAATTGCTGTGGTGTTCGCATGAGGAGGTCTGTCTCGGGAACATAGGAAGGGTGCTTTGGGAGGGCAAACTTCCTTCTTTTTTAGAAAAGAGAAAAATAAAGAAATAAAACATTATTTGAAAGTGTGAAACAACAACAGCAACGAACAGTTCTCATCGTAGTTTTGTACCAGCTATATGGAGAGTAATGTTATTCACTAGGTTTCACTGGTCTTGGTAATATGTCAGGAATTTCCTGTTACTGTTCTATACTTGTTTGAGAGAGACAATGTATTTCTTTTCTAACTTTTTGACGTGTGTCTTCCTTCCAGGACATCAGAACAGCTGACATGTGAATGAGAAGATGGTGGTTTACAGTAAGAAGTGAATTTGACCATTTTGGTGGTGGTGGGTTTTTTGGGGGGGGGGAGTATTACTGAGATTTTTCAAAAAGTGAGAGATTGCACCCTTTGTTCCTAAAGCATTTGAAAAGCTATTAAAAACAATGGAGGGATCAGCAACTACAAAATGTGACAGTGCCTATTAATGCCAAAAATGTTTCTGATTTATAACTTTATGCATCGTTGCATGGAAAATGAATCCCTCAGGGATGATTGAAGACTGAAAAAAGCAGCTAAAATGGAAAAGTCTAAAGGTTGAAATTCTACCATGGCGGCAGCTGTCCTTAACTCAACCCGCTGTGGCCATATGTAACCATGGCTGTGACCTGCAGCCCTGTTCATGTGTTATGCCTGAAGAGGGAACTGGAAGTGGATGCACATGCCAGCACCACAACCAACATCCATGCATACTCTAGCATGCCTGACCTCAATTTCAGCAGGAAGGCCTGAAGGGGAAATGTAAGCATGTTCAACTGAACACCTTTATATTCCTCCTTGTAAATGGGAATCATAATTGTGCTGGGTTTTCAGGCATGGGGAGGCTCATAAACACCTTCCCAATTTATTACAGCATTGTGTAAAGGCTGCATGTCCCATTTTTACAGTTTCCCTTGTATGATACCATCTTACCCTTGGCAACTTCCCTAAAATATAGCTGACTCAGGTTGGTCAAACCATCACAAGAGTGCTATCAAACAGGCCAAGTGTGCATCCTCAGCAGTAGCTCGCATTCATTTTCTGAAAGGTAACCAATTTATACCAGCTGCCATTCAAATTTTTCAAGCTAAAGCGTCATCCCAGCTACATTTTGGGATCCCAATATGGATACAAGCATATAACAGTGATTTAGATACCGGTAAGATACACTCAGGTTTCCTGAGACGTATCCTGGGGCTCCCAAGTTCAATCAAGTATGAGACAGTGTGTGCAGAACTAGGTATATACACGATGGGATATTGGGCCAGCACTATAAAATAGTGATTGCGTTGCCATTTCTGTTGCCAGCCTTTGAGTCTGCTCTCTGACTTACTTAAAGGCTCTTATTATCAATCCAGATGGTTCCAACTCTTACATAGCAAAATCAGATCTATTAGTATTGACTTGCAACTCTTGTATAATTCAAGTGAGCAATATATTTATTGTAATATTCTAACCAAATTAAGGGACATTGAAAAACAAAACATTGAGTCAGCTATAAATAAAATTTGCTCCCCCAAGTTCTTTGGTTTAAATACAACAGATAACAGGGTCACATAGTTCAAAATTAGTAATTCCAGGTGGTTGTCACCGATGGAAGCGAAGGCTCAGAAAAAGCTCAATATGGAGGCCAAATGGCCGAAATATTGGGAAATTTTGGAACAAGAGGGAGATAAATTGAAACTGCAGAGTTTTGAAAAACTAAAAAATAAAGTGCGAGATTGGCTTCATTATTATCAGATAATGGAGGCATATAATTTGGATAAGAAAATTGGCTTCCAGGTGGAAAAATCAAAATTGGAAACAGAACTGTTAGACTTCAAAACCAAGATTTTGTCAAAGATGTATAACTTGCTGTTGAAATGGAATACTCAGGATGAAATGGTGAAATCTGCTATGATTAAATGGGCACAAGATGTTGGACATAACATAATGGTGGCTGACTGGGAACAGTTATGGACCACAGGTATGAAGTTTACGGCATGTAATGCCTTAAGAGAGAATATTATGAAAATGATTTACAGGTGGTACATGACACCAGTCAAGCTTGCAAAAATCTATCATTTGCCCGATAATAAATGTTGGAAATGTAAAGAAACTGAAGGTACATTCTTTCACCTTTGGTGGACGTGCCCAGGGATTAAGGCTTTCTGGGAGATGATTTATAATGAAATGAAAAAGGTATTTAAATATACCTTCCTGAAGAAACCAGAGGCCTTTCTCCTGGGCATGGTCGGCCAATTGGTGCCAAAGAAGGATAGAACTTTCTTTATGTATGCTACAACAGCAGCAAGAATACTTATTGCAAAGTATTGGAAGACACAAGATTTACCCACTCTGGAAGAATGGCAGATGAAGGTGATGGACTATATGGAACTGGCGGAAATGACTGGCAGAATCCGAGACCAGGGAGAAGAGTTGGTGGAAGAAGATTGGAAGAAATTTAAAAACTATTTACAGAAATACTGCAAAATTAATGAATGTTAGAATGATGTTGGATTGAAGTTAAGTGGTTTTTAGCAGTAATGTTATAAAGGAATATGTAAAAAAGGATTGTTAACAGGTGATAATTTAAAGCTATAATATATTAAGATAAAAGATTAAGATAAAATCAAAGAGGGAAAGGAATTGCTGAATTAACTAATTGAACTGGAATACAAAAAAGGGAGGTGTGAGGAGGTCAGGGAAACAAGCAAATGAAAAGATATGGAAAGACTGACTTGTTTTTAACTGTTTTTACCTTGTATTTATTTTCGTTTTTTTATTTTCTTTTACTTTTTTCTCTTATTTTTGTAATATGCTGAAACTTTAATAAATATCTTATTAAAAAATAAATAAATTACTAATTCCAGCCTTGGTTAGCCCGACTGAACGTTTTCCCTTCAGCTTTTCCAAGGGCAAAACATCCCCAGAAACAATAGGCATTGCAGACGTTCTTTGAATGTGCCAGACAGTAGAACATATTCTTTTCTACTGTCCATTGTACAACGAGCTACACAAATGCGTGCTATTCCACTTTTTTGGGTAGTCCAACATCATGGCACAATGAAATCAGATTCTATCTGTCTGATATTAACCCAGAAGTAACTGCAAGGGTGGCTGAGTTTTTATCAATAGTATCTCTTAGAGTGGTTAATGAAAATCCTCGTTATTACATATTTTTACATGGCTGTTTATTTGTATATATTTCAAAATTTTATATACCGATGTTTTATGATGGCCTATATTTGTAATGCCTAATAAAGGTTTGGCGAAGTAAGTAAGTTGATGCAAAGTCATTTTCTCTTGATGTTCACTCTGTGGTTCTCCTGCTAAAATATCGTCACCCTGAGGGCTTCCGATTCACAACTGAGTAATTTTACTCTGTCTATTCAGGCCCTTTGTGAATTGAATGGATATTATTGCTTCAGATCCCCTCGCTCCTAGATGCATGATATTGTCCTTGGAATCATGAATGGCTTTTGCTGTGGGATCACAATTTTCAGAAATGCTGCCTTCCATAGCTGCTATTCTCTGGAATTATATTAAAACTTCTAAAATATGTAGTATCAAATACCACATGTATTAATCTAGGGAGCATATGAAAGTACTGCATATATTAATTGTATCTCATCACTTCAATACCTTGAGTTATGCACAAAAAATAATGAATATATAATCACCAAACCCAAGTAAGATAGTGAAGTATTTTTAGCATGAATATTTTGGGACATGGAAAGACATTGCTTAGACAAAATAAACACTAACTAACTTTTATATTGAACATTTCTCTGTATGTGGTATGTTCTTGGAATCATATTTTATCCCTTAACTTGTTTGCTAGGATAGTAGTCAGATTTGGGCATTCTTATGGAATTAACTGCATTGATCAACATGTGAACCATGTGAACCATTTGTTGTCCCTAGAGCAAGAGGCACTGGACCAAAAATCAAATAAAAACCAAACCAGGTTACGAGTTAATCACTGAATATGCAAAATTCTTACCTATGAAAGACGTAGTCTGGATAAATGGCATTTTAGGGGGTAACAGTGCTATTTAACTTGTTCACAAATGATCTAACATTTGGGTTGGGCAGCGGTGTTTCAGATTGCACCAAATTATTCAGGATGGTGGAAAACCAAGCCATTCGTGAAAGGAAGAATGGACAACATATTGGCAAGTCATGTTCCATAAAAGTGTATAGTAATGCATATTGAGGGGGAGGGCTGAGTTTGCATATACAGGGAGGAGTTCTAAAAATACTTTGATTACCCAAGAAAGATATCTTGGTGAAAAGTCCCCTGTAAAAATTAGATCTACATGCTTATATGACAATGGGGGAAATGGCAGATTCAGTGGTAGAAATTAATGCAATTATGGATTGAGTACAGTGTAATTTTTGGCTACCCTATCTTTCTATATAAAGAGACGTGGATATGTAGAGCTGCATAAGCTGTGGGAAAGGGCAATAAAATGATCAATGGAGTCTTCTCTTCAAGGGCTTTAAAAAGTTTACAAAGGAGATTTCTACTAGAAATCTGTTAAATCCCGAATGCCAGAGAGATTAATATATGTCTAATAACTCTAGAAAATGAGATCATTCAAAGAAATTGGCAGTAGGTACAGGACTGACCCACGTAAAATTCTCCTTCACAAACTACTTAAATGTTATTCATTATTGCCACATGATGCTGCATCCAGTTAGATTAATTCAAAGGGAAATCCATGGATGGCAGAACTATTAATTGCTCTCGTTCAGCGCCATATTGAATATGTTTATTCAGGTAAAGGAGAAAACAGGCAACCATTTCTATGGCAGAGGTTGTGGGGATATCATAGCCATCCACATACTCTTGGTAAATAGAATGGAAGAAATGGAAGAAACTGAGTTTTGATTTTGATTTCATTTTCTGGGGCGGGGGGCATAAAGTTGCATTGGACACCAGTATTAAGGATGATTTATATTGGATATGGGTCTTAAGCTTTGTTGTACTGAGGGACAATATTCTGGTTTTCATGTTCTTGTAGACGTCTGTAGTTAATTATCTTATTGCCACTATATAGGGAGACTCTTGAAAGACTGGACAATTGCTGCTGCATATTGTCATTGTTGACAATGATCCAACAAATTTATGTACAGATACCTGGTAGTTTCTTTAATGTTTCTACTGCAATCTCCTGTTTCAATGCTATGAATTGTTCCCTGAATAAGTCTCATGCTAAACACCACCTTATTGTTGTCTAGAGCATTGTCTAGAGCAGCCTTATTGTTGTCTAGAGCATGGTGCTGATAACCCCAAGGTTGCAGGTTTGACTCCCATATGGGACAACAGTATATTCCTGCATTGCAGGGGTTGGACTAGATGATCCTCAAGGTCCCTTCCATCTCTGATTCTGTGATTACAGATATAGGTGGATTTTTGGCTTGGGCATTAGTTGTCTATCTGTTCCAGCCCCCCCCAACAAAAAAATATAAATTATTTAATTTTTAAAAGGTAAGGGAACTCAGTTACTTTTCAGCTGCACGACATCACATATGATGCCAGGCATAGGGTGAATGGGTGTGGCTTCAGAAAAATGGCCTCCAGAGCCAAATTAGTATCTCTTTCAGGCCTAAATAGGGCTACAGCAGGCTTCCTCAACCTCAAGACTACAATTCCCATCATCCCTGACCACTGGTCCTGCTAGCTAAGGATCATGGGAGTTGTAGGCCAAAAACAGCTGGAGGGCCGAGGTTGAGGAAGCCTGGGCTACAGGACTGAAGGTTTCCCACCGCTGACGTATCTATGTAAACTTAATGTAGAGCTGTGACGGTGTCAGTATTGTAAGAGGAAGAGCATCCCTCATAGGCAGCTGAAAGCCCATTACTGAGATTAATCTCAGCAATCCACTTAGCAGGGCAGAAGGCGCTTCAACCCCCTCAATATTTTGAGGCAGGAGTTCCAGCCTCCCCCCCCCCCATATTGAGGGGGCCAACATCCCCCAGCACTGTTGGGCACCCTTCAGGCACCCTGGGAGCCTGGGGGGTGGCTGGAGCAAGTGAGGGTGAAGCTCGCCCTCTGTGTGTCCTGCCCCTGCTTGGCACATGCCCTGGGGAGGAGGCTAAGCCCAGAGGCCGTGCTCCTCCCGCCCTGCCCAATGCCACAAAGAGAATGCCGAGCACCTCCTTCTCCTGTCCCCTCTCCACCTCCAGAACACCCATGCAGCCCGGCTCAGCGTATGAGTGCTCACACGCTGGGCAGGGGTGGGACACGTCACATGATGCGGGCAAGCTGGGACCCCTGCCACTTAGTGGACCTGCCATGCTACGCTACAGCAAGAATGTCTATGTAGCACTTTCAGAGTGTTCAGAACACTTCCTCTGCATGATCTAATTACAGCCCTAGGCGTACGGAAGCCTTTTCAGCTGGACCGCAAATTCTCACATGGGGAACTTTTACCAGTGAATTGAAGGTGGATGTGAGATGTAATCCAGGAGCTTCCAGATTCATAGCATTTCACTAGGCAAGCTCTCATGTACCTGAGAAACACTCACCTTAAAAAACCACTTTCTTTCTTTCTTGAGCATCAATGGGTTGTGTCTCCTGTATTCTCTTTGAGAGAGTGATAGAATGAAACCGAGTGACCCTGTGACTTAATCTCCTGCAAGTCAGTTCTATTGTTCTTACCCAGTCATTCACTCTGATTTCTCTAGAGAGAGGCAGTTCAAAAGCACTCTTCACCCTTATGCGTCTTTCAGCTTGTTTAAGATACTTCTTCCAACTCATTTGCCAAGTGTTATTCCTATTTATAGAGACACAATGCATTTAAGTGCCTCGAGAAAGGCCTGTATGGCTTCAGTTTATAAAGGGTTGCTGCACATGTTCCTGGAAGATAGTACTTAGGACACTGGGGGAGCTTTTGCCTCTGCTCCCGAGTGGTTACTGTTCAAAAAGCTAGGGGGGAGAGGAGCTGTATGTTATTTACTGTATCAGGCCCTGCAGATTTAGTTCTAGCACAACAACCAGTGTTTCATCATTCCACTTACCTAGACTGTTTCTCACATCCAATAGCTGCTTTGGGGTTTCTTCAAAAACCTAATGCACAAGCAAGATCTGTTGGGGTGCCAATGCCATGAGCCCCTCCATCCGATCCTTAGGTTGTATATGTGTGTAAATAAAACCATATGTCCTAAAGACACCACAGTCTCTCATCATTCCAAGGAAATGATGCCCTGGGAAAGCACCGGCACCTCTGGAGTCTCTTGCCACTCATGGATTAGAGTAGCATGTAACAATACATTTTAAATCTATCATGGGAAAGCTTATTTCTGCTGGGTTTGTTTATGGGTTACTGGGGTTGTTTTATAGAAATCACAGTTTAATATCTAATGCATTTTTTTCTTTTAACATTTATGTAAGTTGCTTAGAGGCTTTTTTGCAATAAGCAACTAAGAGGTCAAAATAATAATAGAAGGGTGGAATTTAAATAAGTCATATTGTCCATCTTTCCTGGTCCTGCCCTACATCATTGGCTGCTGAAGCCAGGGACAGAAAAACATTCAACTTAATTGCGTCAAGTCATGAGGCAAGTAGTGGTGTCACTCATTTTGAAAAGGGAAACTTGACACAAAAACCTGCCATTTTGTGGTACATGAAGACAGTGCAGGAAATGGTTGTTCTTTTCTGGAAAATCCAGTCCTGAGAAGTGCCAGATGGGAGCATATCTTTCGAACCCTCCTCCCCCCTTTTTTCTATAAACCAAAAGTGTCCTGCTAGGGTTCCAGTGCTCAAATGCATCTACATCTAGGCCTGCAGAACTTGTGACTCATCGAGCTAAACACAGCCCAGCAGGCAGGCGGATGGGTTCTCCACGGGTTTGATAAACCTTCTGCATGACTTCACAAAAGCAGGGAAATTGTCAAGTACCTGACCATAGGATCCATTCAGCCTGGCAGGTCATAGATGATGCTGTACTAATCCATACTTAAGTCTGCTTCCAATATCAAATGTTCCTAAGAACCAGAGCATTAAAAAGATCCTTGGGTAGACTGATGTGTTTGTGCAATTCATCCTATTGCTTCAGTTTAGAAATGAAAGCCTCCAGGTACTTTGAAAACATTGCAGAAGTGAAATGGTGGTTTTCAGAATAGCATCTGGAAGCATGCTTTCTCAGCTCTTTCCTTGAATTGCTTAAATCACTATGATGAGAAAATTATTACCTATTGGTGCATAGTCCTGTTCACTGACATATACAAACAGAAGGCGAGAAGGCGAACTACAGGAAGAAAAGAATTTGATTGTAGCCCTTAGTGGTTTACCAGACATCTGGACTCAAAATAAAAGTGTTATTGATTGATATAGACCATTTCCTGGAAATGTCTGCAGTTGGTAAAAGCTGTGTGCCAAAGTGAGAAAATCAAGGGAGAATTTCTTTTTTAGATACAATACTGATAAAAATAAGTGATGGGAAATCACTTTTTAGGAAGGAAATGATTGCTTGCAACTCTTAAGTTCTGGGAGGAGGGAACCGTTTACTTTGCAAAGTGCTAAGGGGTGCTGTAATTGTTATTAGTAGTGATTGGCTTAGTTCTCCATGTGTCATAGAGCAGGAGTAGCCAACCTGGTGCCCTTTAGTTGTTTTTCATCTCTGACCACTGACCATGCTGGCAGAGTCATAGAATCAAAGAACTGGAGAGTTGGAAGGGAACCCAAGGGCCATCTAACCTCACCACCTGCAATGCAGGAATCTCAACTAAAACATCCATCCAACCATCCAACCAACATCTGCTTAAAAACCTCTACGTAAGGAGAGTGCACCACCTCTTGTGGGAATCTGTTCTGCTATCAAACAGCTCTTACTGACAGAAGGTTCTGCCTGATGTTTGGTCAGAATCTCCTTTCACTGGTTTGGGTGCTACCCTCTGGAGCAGGAGAAAACAAGCTTGCTCTATTTCCGTGTGGCAATTATTTAGTTATTTGAAGATGTCTATCATATCTCCTCTCATCCGATGAGAGTATTAGTCCAAAACAACAGAAGAGAAGTGCAGGCACACAGGGTTTCTATCTGCCATTGGCTGAGGTGCACTAATCCTAAAGAGGTAGGACACTCAGGGATTTTTTTCCCAGCTAGAACTCACCAGAACTCAGTCCCAGCACCTCTCAGGTAGGCACCATTGCCATCATAAGAGAACAAGGGTGGCATTCATGGTGACTTGCCTCTGAATAGAAGAAACAGGAAAGGAGGCTCAGAGAAAGCACCTAAGAAGGTCCTAGGACAGGCTTCCTCAACCTAGGCCCTCCAGATGTTTTTGGCCTACAACTCCCATGATCCCTAGCTAGCAGGACCAGTGGTCAGGAATGCTGGGAATTGTAGTCTCAAAACATCTGGAGGGCTCAGGTTGAGGAAGCCTGTCCTAGGACAAAGAAAAAGATCCTTGGACAAGGGAGAGGTCCAGAAGAAAGAGGGCAGGACAGTTCCGTAGGAGAAAGTCTGGAAGGAAAAGAAAAACTGAAGAAATGCAAAAGACCCCTTTTGTAATTCTGAACTGTCTTCCTCTTCTCTGGAAGGGTCAGGCTGGGGAGGCAGTCCCCACCATTCTTCCTTTGCCCAGTCCCTGACACCTAGCCTTCAAAATCCTTTTTTACAGAACACTAATTAGAAAGCAATCTTATTGAAATGAAATGAAATTAAGAGCAGTATATTGAAGAACTACATTTGGGTATTATCAAAAAGCCAAGCCTATAATGCTTTGTAGGATTTTATTCACTGCTTTCTTTCTATATGCTTCCAAAGTGGATATAATAAAAGGATGTTGAATCATATTGTAACTAAGCCTCCTGTAAAATATTTTCCATATGAAGCAAATCCTTCTCAGTCTTTGGGGAAATTAACAGACAGGAATGACTGCCTAGCAGGTTGCAATTTAAAGACTCCTGTGAACGCCCCCTAAATTCCCCACCGCCAGGGGAATGCCCATCCAAGGGCTGCCAGCACTGGCCAATAGCCAGCAGCCAGGCGATCTGGTCTATTTGTGCAGTCCAGGGACTAGCTGCAACACCAACCACCAATGAGGGTGAGTGGACTTCTCAGAAAAACTGAAGACACGCTTTTTGTGAAGCCACACCATGGAGTAAGGTAAAGGTAAATGGACCCCTGACTATTAGGTCCAGTCATGGCCGACTCTGGGGTTGCAGCGCTCATCTCACTTTACTGGCCGAGGGAGCCAGCGTACAGCTTCTGGGTCATGTGGCCAGCATGACTAAGCCGCTTCTGGTGAACCAGAGCAGCACACGGAAATGCCGTTTACCTTCCCGCCAGAGCAGTACCTATTTATCTACTTGCACTTTGACGTGCTTTCGAACTGCTAGGTTGGCAGGAGCTGGGACTGAGCAACGGGAGCTCACCCCGTCACAGGGATTCGAACCGCCGACCATCTGATCGGTAAGTCCTATGCTCTGTGGTTTAACCCACTCTGTTAAT